CCCTCCTGCCGGTTCCCCAGCTGGTCGATGCTGCGCCGTCGCTTCTGCTGGTCGCTGCTCGCTCTTCCAGTCCGCGCCGCCGCTCTTGCGTCCCCGTCTCGGCCGTAGCTTCCCGTGATTGTTACCTCGTCCCCTCTATCCGTATCTGTCCCCCGGTCCCCTTTTTCTCCACTTGCACTCTCTCTCTCTCTATCTCTATCGCTGACTTTCTGCGGATGTTTGGTGCATGATTTGCCTCTCTGCCTCTCTGTCGTTCTGCTTCCCTGTCCCTCGGTCCTGTGTCTCCGTCCCCCCTCCACCTTCCCTCCTCTCTCCTTCCTGTCCCTCCTCCACCCTAACTGCTCCCCATCCTCCCCCACCCCATCCCGTTCCCTTCCACGCCGACTCATCCTTCCACTCTCCCGCTGCTCGTCCTCCCCCTTGCCCCACCCCCTCCAACTCCAAGATGTCCAACGCTTCCGCTGCGCGGCGTGCTGGTCTTCCAGCCTTCGCAAGACTGCCTTGTGGCCAGGTCCCCCTGTTCGCCGCGCTTGGCACCGGGCACGTGGTGATGACAGCTGGCCCTTACATCTTTCGTGAACTCTTCGGGCCGTGTTTTTCGACACGGTCTCACACTTGTCGCGCCAATGCTTGCGCAAAACGGCTTTTCGAACCGGCTGCGATCCATCAAGGCGTCTGCGAGATGGGCTGGACCGCAAGTGCAAAGCAGCATCGGGGCCTGTCGTTCCCGCGTCCCGCACGTTTTATTGTCTTTCCTTGTTAAATGCGTGTGGTTGCGCTGGCCTGTGCGCATTCTTGCGCCACCAGCTTCGCACAGCAAGCCGCAATTGGGACGACGATGTTGCTGTTTTGTCAGTTGTGATATTGCTGGATTGGAAGGACGAGCCCTCTGTCCTGGCTGCGTGGCCACTTCGTGCCACTGACCATTGCGTTCCATCCTGTTCTTGTCGGGCCTGCCTCCTAGGAGGCAGGCGCATCAAGACTCTGGCATTACTTTCCTTTCTCCCCTTTCCCCCCTCTTACCCCTCTCCTTTGTTCTCTCTGATTAAGTTTGCTTTCTCTCCCTTGTTTGTGTTCTCTTTTTGTCTATAGTTCACTCTTTCCCTCGTTTTACTCATGTGCTGATATGTATATATGCACGTCTACATATATATATATATATATATATTTATATGAATAGATTTCGTGTATGCATATGGCGACATACACTCTGTATATATAGATATACTGTGAAGGCCTTCTGGCCGGTGCCACCGGCCCTGAAGGCAGGACCTCCCCCGGGACCCCCGCGGCCGACCCTCCCCCCAGTCCCCCCGGGGACCCGCCGGGACCCTGGAGGGGAGCGGTATTCTGACCTGGACACCCCCCCAACCCCCCCCACGCTCCCCCCGTCAGGGAGGGGAAAAAGCACAGGGAATCGGGTTAATCACGACGTTTCTATTCCTTGTTGCTCAGCTTCCTCGGGCTGGCGACGACGATGACGAGGACAACGCCTCTCGCACACAACGAAGGGTCGGCTGATGCACACACATCCATACATGTACGTGTGTGTATATATATATATGATTTATATAAATGTGTGTGTCTGTGTTGGTGATTACATGCGCATGTGTGCAGGTATACACATATTTGTACATACGCATATATAGATATATGAGTAGGCATAAACATATATAAAATGGGCTGATCAACCTATAGTGTTAGATTGCATTAGAACAAATCATTTGTATTATGTACAATGGTAGTGATTTGTAACATCCTCCATATTATCATGGAACTGGTCGGTGTTATATCGTATTTGGTTCTGATATTTGTAATATGTAGTATTTATGTGTACGTTATATGTCAGTGTCTAAAACACACCGTATATCATAACATACCACCAGGCCATGCGATAGTACATGTATTGCATATGGTAGTTTCGTATATTCATTCCGCTTAGTTGATATCATAGCTAATTGTAAAACTCTGTACTATATATTTGGTTGCGCCATTTGTTGCGGTGATCTAGTTTGTTATATATTAGCATAACAAATGTTATTGTAGTCTGTCTCTCTTCACCTGGATATGCAAATATGAATTTACATATATAGGAGTAGGGAGGGGGGTAGCCCGGGCCGGTGCTGTACCCCCCCATGTAGGGAATTGGGGGGGTCCCAGGCGATCCCCCATTCGAAGGAAGAACCTCCGCACCAAGCTTTTGTCCGAGACGCCGGACCCTGAGACCCGAAGTTGCAAACAAAACATGCAACACTGCAGAACAAATCGCGCCCACAGCCCTGGAGCCCAGTTTTCTCCGACACTTCTCGAGCCGCATCGAGCTGTGAGGGCCCCGGGGCCCGAAGTGGAGCGAACGCGGCCGTGGTGAAAAAAAGTGCAGCACGCCAGGATCTCATAGGGGACGTCTGCAGCCCCGGGCACGGGGCACGGGGCGGCCAGCCTCCGGGGCCAGGACACGGCGGACGCCCCGGAGTTGCAGCTCCCGGGCGCCCCGGAGCAGGCGCGCCTGAGGAAGAGGAAGAGGGCGAGGGAGAGGAGGAGGAGGAGGAGGAGGAGGAGGAGGAGGAGGAGGACGAGGAAGAGGATGAAAAGGAGGATGAAGATGAGGAGGAGGAGTACGAGGAGGAGGAGGAGGATGAGGAGGAGGAGGAGGCAGCCCCGCCGTCGCCGCGCTGGCGCAAGACAGCGCCGCCGTCGACCGTCAACCTTTCAGGGAGGGTCCCCGAGGGGGTCTCCGAGGGGGTGGATCCCCGACGGGGTCGCCGAGGGGGGGTCCGAGGGGGGGTCTCCGAGGGTGGGTCACCGAGGGGGGGTCCCCCAGGGGGGGTCCCCCAGGGGGGGATCACCGAGGGTGGATCAACCGACGGGAAGGTTCCCGAGGGGGGTCACCGAGGGTGGGTTAGAGGTGGGGGGGGGGGCCCGCAGGGGGGGCGCCCCAGGGGGGTCCCCAAAAGGGGGGTCCCCAAGAGGGGGGTCCCCGAGGGGGGGTCGCACCACAATATGCCCTAATGTCCCGCCCACCCGACCCGACCCGCCCGTCACCGGCGCCCACGTGCCAGGCAAAGGGAGCACCACAGCATACTTTGAGGTCATGCACCCGACCCGACCCGCCACGGACGCGCTACCCGCCCGTCACGGGTGCTCGCGTGCCAGGCATGTGACAGCGCACCACACCATACTTCAAAACATGTTCCGCCCGCACGACTCGACCCGCGCCACCACGGACGCGCTACCCGCCCGTCACTGGTGCTCTTGTGCCAAGCATGTGATGATGCACCATAACGGGTGCTTGCGTGCCAGGCATGTGATGGTGCACCACAACATATGGTAATATCCCGCCCGCCCGACCCAGCCCGCCCGTCACGGGTGCCCGCGTGCCAGGCACATGCTGATTCGACACAAGCTACCTCAATGTTTCGCCCGCCCGACCAGACCCGCCTGGCATACGCGCGACCCGCCCGCTACGGGTGCCCGTGTGCCAGGTAAATGTTGATACGCAACAACATACTTGAATGTCCCGCCCGCCCGACCCGACCCGTCCGACACGCCCAGGCAAAGGGTGATGCAACGTAACGTACCTTAATGTCCCGCCCGCCCGACCCGACCCGCCCGCCAGACCCGCCACCCGCCCGTCCCGGCAGCTCGCCTGCCAGGCATGGGAGGACGCACCATACTATTGTTGCTTAATGTCCCGCCCGCATGACCTGGCCCGTCCGCCACGAGCGTCCGCGTGCCAGGCAAAAAATTGGATGCACCTCAGCACACCTTCATGTCCTGTCCGCCCGACCTGCCCCGTCACTGGTGCTCGCTTGCCAGACATGTGATGATTCACCATCGCATATCTTAATGTCCCGCCCGCCCGACCCGGCCCGCCCGCCACGGGTGCCCGCGTGCCAGGCAAATGGCGATGCGACTTAGCATATTTGAATGTCCCACCCGCCCGACCAGACTCGCCGCCGCGGAAGCGCACGGGACCTCCTCAATGTGCGATCGAGGAGGGCGGAAGGAGGAAGAGGAGGGGTAGGAGGAGGCGAAAGTAAAGGAGGAGCAGGAAGCAGGCGGATGGGGGAGAAGGGGGATGATGATGATGAGGATGAGGATGAGGATGATGATGATGATGATGATGATGATGATGCTGATGATGATGATGATGATGATGATGATGATGCTGATGATGATGATGATGATGATGATGATGATGATGTTGCTGATGATGATGATGCTGATGATGATGATGACGACGATAAGGATGAGAAGGAGGAGGAGGAGGAGGAGGAGGAGGAGGAGGGAGGAGGAGGAGGAGGAGGAGGAGGAGGAGGAGGGGCAGGAGGAGGAGGAGCTGGAGCTGGAGGGAGAGGAGGAGGAGAAAGGGGGGGGAGGAGGAGGAGGAGGAGGAGGAGGAGGAGGCGGAGGAGGAGAAGGAGGAGGAGGAGGAGGACGGGCTTCGTGGGATGAAGGAGGGGACGGAGGAGGGGGCCCCCGGGCTACATCTCGGGCCTACCACTACGGCTACCCCAGGGCTGCTCCTATGCTCTGCCCCTAGGGCGACCCTATGGCTGCCCTAGGGCCTTCTGTAGGCCCTACCCTACCCTTGGCAAGCCTAGGGCCTTCAGTAGGCCCTACCCTTGGCAAGCCTAGGGCCTTGAGTAGGCCCTACCCTAGGCAAGCCTGGGGCCTTCAGTAGGCCCTACCCTAGGGAAGCCTAAGGTCTTCAGTATAGCACAGGCCCCCCTGGGTTCTATATCGCGAGGAGGGCGACGGCTTTGGCGACGGGTGCGACGGGGGCGGGGGGCCCAGACCACATCGCGTTGCGAAACAAGTCGCATCGGGAGGTTTTTCGCTGTTTTCGGCCTCCGAGGGCCCTCACCGGGCCCCGGGACAGTGGACATCGGTCCCGGGGAAGAGCTTCAGATCTCTGGGAGTCCACGTTGGGAAATCAGCAGGACGTCGGGGACTTGGGTGGGGGGGCAGGAGGTCGTTGCCGACGACTGGGAAGGGTCGGGGGGGAACGGGAGGAAGTAGAGGGAAGGAACCGGAGAAAGAGAGAGAGAGAGAGACGGCGGGGAGGGCGCGTGGGCCAGGAGGTCAATCGGAGACAACGTGGGGGGGGGTGAGGTCGGGGGGAAGAAGTAGAGAGAAAGGAACTAGAGAAAGAGAGAGAGAAGGAGAGACGGGGGGGTTGCGTGGGCTAGGAGGTCGCGGCCAACGACGGGGGGGGGGAGGTCGGGTAGGAAATGGAAGGAAGTAGAGGGAGAGGAACCAGAGAGAGAGAGAGAGAGAATGAGGGAACAAAAAAGGAACGGAGGTCAGAAGATCGCTCTTTTCGCATCTCCCTGCGACTCTTTGGGGCCCTCTGTGGGGCATCTCTTGCTAATTACCCCGTGGGCGCCCCTCCCTCCTCTCCGCCTCCTCTTGGTCGTCTCCCCCAGGCGCGCTCAGGCCTTGCTTCCCTCCTCCGCCTCCTCCTCCTCCTCCTCCTCCATTCCTTTCACTTCTCCCTGTCGCACCCCGAGGCCAGTTTCTAAGGCGGGCCAGGCGTTTGGCCTGAGATTTCCTCACCATTTACGATTCTGAAGCTTACACATTGGCAACAGCTGCACGGATGGAGGCTTTCGCCTTCGCGCCGCGCACACTCATTTTCAACATTTGCAAGGGTCTCACGCATCGAGGGCGGGTTATTTTCAAAATGTGGTTTTCGCCTTCGCGCCGCGCACAGTCGTTGTAAACATGTGCAACCGTTTCACGCAGTGAGGGCGGGTCGTTTTCAAAATGTGGCTCTCGTTTTTTGCGCCGCGCACTCTTCTTGATCAACTTACAAGAGCTTCGCGCATTGAGGGCGCGTGGTTTTCAACATGTGGCTATCGCATTAGCGCCGCGCACATGCGTTAAAACAATTGCAAGAGCTTCACGGATTGAGAGCGTGTGGTGTTCAACATGTGGTTTTCGCCGTAGCCCCGCGCACATTCGTTTAAGCAACTCGCAAGAGTTTCACGGATTGAGGGCGGGTGGTTTTCAAAATGTGGCTCTCGCATCAGCGCCGCGCACATTCATTTCCAACAAATGCAAGCGCTTCACGGATTGAGGGCGGCTCTTTTCCAACAGGTAGTTCTCGCTTTAGCGCCGCGCGCATTCGTTTTAAACATGTGCTCGGTTTTCACGGGCTCCCATTATTAACGTACCAGAAATGGCGTTTTGGAATTACGCGGGTGCAGAATCTATGTTGGTTTGCAGTGTTGAAGTCCCAAAGAGTGGCGTTCTGGCACGACTCCAGATCGCCACGGCGCAGCAGTCAATTTGATCCGTGGCGTGGAAATCCCGAGAATAGTGTTTTGACATGCTGCAAGGTCTTCAAACGGTTGTCTTCCAACGAGGCAGTTCCTTCAATGGGAATGAACCGTTGTAGGCGGCTATGAAGAGGGAGCTTGGACGGTGCGTAAATTCCAACACCGTTGATGATTCTTGTGTTTACAATTGTCCTCCTCCTTCTCCTTCTTCCCCCCTCCTCCCCCTCCTCCTCCTTCTCCTCCTCCTCCTCCTCACCTTCTCTGGTCGTCTCCTCCGGACGCGCGGAGACCTTGCTCCTGGCTGCCACCACCTGAGAGCTCAGAACACCCCCGAGCCCGACAGACCATGTGACCCCTGTCCAGTAGGAGTTGATTTGCCCCGAAATTTGATCTCTTCGTCGGGTGTACAACAGAATGCGCATATACTGTTCGTGGGTCTACGACCATTGCTCGCGCTCCTCGTAGATCCGACGAGCAGATCAAGTTGTGGGGTGCATCGATTCGGTGGTCGGTCCCATACCTCGACCCCTGGAGAGCCTCGCTCTCCCCTCCCATCATGCTCCCCGGGGCTCCGCTCAAATAAGGAGGGAAACCCTGGGGTGCACCGCCATGGGGCCTTGCGGACGCACCCCTATCGAGGATGGACGCACCCCCATCGTAGATCCCATGGTTGGGCCCAAGATTTTACTGGTCCGTTCAGAAACCCCACGAAGCCTGGGGCAGGGGTCGACATATCCCCTGCGAACGCAAGGTGGGGCCACCATTCACCACGCGCGAAGTGCTGCATGCTCTGAGAGCGCCCCCTTCTCTCGCCATCCCCCGCGGCCGCCTGCTGCCGTGCGTGTTCGTTTGGGTGGAGGGCACAGGGTGAAAATCTGAAATGCCGTTTCGATGCATTTTCGAGGCTTGAATCTGCAAAAGGGAGTCACAAGACGATTTGATTTTCGAGGTGCGTAAGCTCATGTGGGTTTCGCCTTGAGCCCTCCGCCCTAAGAGAATACGCAGTGCTGAGATTTTGCCTCTGCGCCAACGTGCCGTTCGCGCGGCCAGGGCCCCCCCGGCACATAGACTGAGGCCGAGCCCGGCGGGCTCGGGGCCGCCATGGGTCAGGGCGCCAGAGACGGGGGCACAGCAAACGGGTGCATTGGGAACGCCGATATCCACGTTTGGCTATGCCCCCCTTCAGGGGGCCCCGTGCGCCGTACACGGGGGCACA